ACTGACGGAAAGCTATTAGAAATTTCATCTTCCTACTACTTTATATTCATTTTTCATTATTTTACTCCCACTTCACATTGATCCCTCCGTGTGTTGATACTTCTCTTCTTTAGTTTTGCGCTCATTTTCTCGATGCGTTTATCTCGACTTAATAATAATTATTATTACAATTACAACACTAACAAAGAAACTGTAATATAAATAATTGTCGCAGTAGTCATTAGTATTTATATTGTCAGTAATTTTAATATATTATAATTAATAATAACAATATTAACACTCATATTGACTAACTTATTAATAGTGGTAATAGTTATGCCGGTTATTTGGAATCCATCCTTTTCTACTTGATCTCCGCGACCAGATATTTTAAAACAAAGTCACTTTATTCATTTCTGACAGTTTCTAAGGGGCGTCCACTTTCCGATTACATAAAAAGTTCTGGTCTGAATTTGGCCACCGAGTGTGAGCATACAGCGGCCATTCCCGAACTAAGGACTAACTAATTTGTTCATTTTTCAGCATACGAAGGCTGAGAATCTATAGACAGTCCAAAATTTCTAGCGCTTAGGAACTATGTTTATGGTATCCAGCTATTTTATGGTCAGCACAGTGTATTCAGCATCAAAAATCATTTTTAATTCGTAAAACTGCCTTTGCTAATCCCAACAAATAACTAATTCTAAATCCTTTTTTCCTCTCAACAGCCGCCGAAGAGTCCCATCTGCTTCGATTTCGGCTCATTAAAGTGCTGGCCTGTGGCCACGATCAAGTCCAGGTACATTGCCCGGTTGGAGCACAAATATCACTGGTCAGTGCTCAACATGGCTTCGACCTGAACTTAGCCAGGCAACCTGGCGGTCAAAAAAGCATGCTCGGACCTGGGTCCGAGTCCCGTGGGGAGGGCATCGAAAGACCGTCTTCCGGGACGCCAAATGGAGCAAAGCTGGCCGCCCGAGCGACTGAGCTGAGGCCTACTGGTGAAATGTGGCCCGGTCGAGCCGACCTGGCCGGTCAGAGCCTGTCGTTTCTTCTCTCGGCCGAAGCCGCAGCCTTACGTGTCGGAGCGGAGCCTCTGTTCATTGCTTCATCCAGTTGCCAGGCAACCGGTGACGCCAGTTCCAGTTCGGAAAGTCGCCAGCAGAGGTTTAACAGCCAGCCCTGCGCCAAACCCAGGGATGTTTCCATGGTAAGGGGTGGGGCATAATAGGGTTTTTATACCTCTTCATTGAGATTATGTATCAAGTGTACACCGGGATCCGATGTTTGGATGCTTAGTCAGGCCGTTCTAGATACGTATTCGTTTTAACGCATAGTCTCTCCGCGATGAAGAAATTCAGCCATTTCCTCTGCAGCCAAGGGATAATATTTCGGTCTGGAAGGAGTTCAAGCGTAAGATTGTGGCATGACTTTCTCTTTCGAAGGAAAAGTTGGTTA